GGGGGTGTGAGGTTGGCGTGATCCGGCTCCCGAAGGAGCCGTTTCATGCTTTGATCTCCTCCCCCGAAGAAGGCAAGTGCCAAGCAACTCTGCAGCGGCCGTTCGAGCCGGATTACCTAGGAAGGAAGGAAGGAAGGAAGGAAGGAAGGAAGGAAGGAAGGAAGGAAGGAAGGAAGTTTCAAATTCCCAGACCCTCCAGTCACCTATAACCAAACACATGAAGAACTTTTAAAAAGAGGGCTGGGGAATCAAAGCAGGACACACATGTACAAAACTCAGACCTAGGCAACGTGACTTAAAGTTGGAACCAAAGAGGTGATGAGAGACTTTTGCATCTCTCTGAGGCCTTCTGACAGTCTCTCCCACTCTGTGTGCTATGGCTTGCCTGGCGGTCCTGGTAGCGCTGCCACTGCTGTTCTTTGGGCTTTTGGTGTTGCTGCAGATCTCTGGAGGCTGCATCTCTCTTGAGGCTCTTTCTCGGGTCACTCTGTTCTCTGCCCTCTCAAACCTACATGGCGTCTGTCTCCCTTTTTTCTCCTCAAAATTCTCTCTTTCTCCCTCAGAAGTCTCTTTTCCCTCAGGATTGTCCTTTCCCTCCGGACTCTCCTTCGGCTCCCCCTCAGCGACAAAACACCTTATCACCTCTGTTCTAAAGAGATTTTACAAAGCAGTTGGTAAGTCGAGAGAAAGAAATGTTACCTTGAAAAGAAGGATCCGCTGTCTGGATGTGTTTCACCGCCACAAGGAATCCCAAAAGGGAGACGAGCAAATTCATACCTTGAAGAGAGCAAGATGTTTGCACGGATTACATGCAAAGCATTCTTATCCAAAGTTCCCTGGTATACATCATTAATTCTGATATGGATCTAACCCCAACAGAACAAGTATAACCAGAATTCAATTTCTCCTCAAAATAATAAAGAGAAGGACTCTGCCAGGCTGCCCATTAAAAATTAAACGTCTCAGAATAATTAGGGTAAACTGGCTTCATCCTGGGCCCACCATGGCCCTCCCTGTATGCTCTTTCCCTTGTAGGTGGGGAGACAGGTTCATGCTCTTGGGGTGGACGATGCAGACGGTGTCCCTGTGGATTACAGGGCAGTTCCTTTGCTCTTAGCTCCTTAGACGTGAATCTCTTTGAAAAAACAGCTATTCTTAAACTGAGAGAGCACAGGTACTGACTATCTTTGCCTGCATCGTGCCGGTGGTGTATCCAGGATTTAGGACTGCTCTGCCCATACATTAAAACCAGTTTCATTCCATAATATGACACCCGTAAAAATATTTCACACCTACAAGCTGTGAAAAACACATTACCTTCTTTTGCTATTCCCATTATATCTCCTGATGCTTATTCTTTCTATCTCATTCTTTTTCAATTTGCCTTTTAAAAAAAGCATGTGGATCTATGTTTGTTTTGTTAAAAAATAAGGAAAAGGCCCTGGCCTGGATAGCCCAGGCAAGCCCAATCTCATCAGATCTCAGAAGCTAAACAGGGTATTTGGATGGGAGACCACCAGGGAATACCAGGACCAGGCGGCCAAAGGCAGGTTCTATCAAGCCCATGCTCCAGTAGGAGTCGCCAGAGGTCACCATGACTTCCAGGCACGGGCACACACACACACAAATGCAAAAATACAAAACAAGAAAAAGGGGGGGGGAGTGGTTCTACAGGCTTTCATACACCACAAACCTCAGCTCATTACTGTTGGGAAAAAGGGAACAGTGAGGCTTACGGGAAGACCATAGTCCTATGTGAAGGTGGGGTTGGCGGAAGGAGATAATTCCTGTTTCTGCTTATGACCCAAAGGAACAGTTTATGCTTTGGGACTTCTTAACCAAAAGAACCAATTCTGCTGACAGCTGTGTGAAACATCTTACCACAAAGGGAAGTGGGGACTACGAAACTGTACAAATTTACACCAGCAACGTGTGACCCAAAGGGGTCAGTCTGTGTGAGAAGAGTGGTTATGGATCCAAAACCAGACCAAAAGGAATGAATTCTTCACAATGGAGACATGAAGGGTGAGTTAGAAATACAGAAATCCATTCCATTTTTGTTCTTCCTTTCTGCAACTCCAGTTAGCAATTAATTGCACTGGAGGAATGGGCACAGTTGACATTAGAAATAAGGGCAGCCCCCTTTATCTTAAACAACAACAACTCATCTTAAACAACAACAACTCATAGGAAGCAGCCCTTTACTCTTCAGCCATCTAATTCATGATTGGCCACACGAGCCCATTCTGCATCTAGAATTCGCTCTGTTGTTTTACCCAACCCACACTGGAACGGAAAAAGATGCGGCTCAAGACCGCATTCAGATACCCCGGGCCAATGCCATACTGACTGCAGAGTGGCCCCTGAATGGCCATAAAATGGCCATAAATCTATGCAGATGGTACCATAACACGGAGAGATCAAAGGAAGTAAAACTGGCACGCAGTGTGGAGGCCACCATAAAATCTGACAATCAAAGAAAGTGAAAGTGGCATGCAATGTAGAGGGGAATTTATGTTCCATTGTGGGCTTGGTAAAACAGCGGAGCAAATGCCTCTGTGACAGCAGCTTTCCAGGGTCCCTGGCAGAAAAGGAGCCTTTCCTAGCACTTAAGATGGCTTTACAGAAGCAAAACACAGGACAGGAAGCACATCAGACAGAGCCAGACGCTTCATCTTTCAAGCTCTGCATTGCCTCCTCTGACTGGTAGTGGCTATCCCAAGTCTTAGGTACAGGTCTTTTGCATCATGTGCTTTTAACTAGAGAAACTGGAGATCGAAATGGGTTACCCTCCACATGCAAATCTGCTGCTCCTCCAGGAAGCCCCAGCCCCTCTCCCACCTCCAGATCAGCAGGGCTTATAAAGCAGATTTATCTCAGCCCACAAAACCTCTGACAGGTGGCGTCCAACCCCGCAAGACCAGATGGGAGCATCAGCCTCCCACACCCTCTCTCACCTGCCATCGTCCATCCGTCTGACCAGAGCTGCTCCAGTGAGCAGCCCTTTTATGCTAAGAAGGAACCACCCACTTCAGCTGGACTGATACATGTGGGCTTCCTTTTTATCTCTTGAGACACGACTCTACTGTGTGTGTGTTCCTTCAGGAAGCAGGGGACAGCAGCGAGACTGAAGCCAGCTGACTGGATGAAGGGGAATTAAAGGATACGTATGAGCTACAAGGGGGAGATGCAGAATGGTCTGGTATAGCCCAGTCCCATTGGATCTTGGAAGTGAAGCAGAGTGGGTCCTTGGATGGGAGACCACCAAGGGAGACTTTGCAGAGGAAGGCAACAGCAAATGTTCCCTCTAAGCTGTGGAGTCTTGGGAGCAAAAAATCTACTTTGTGAGCTACTGGCATTAAAGTTGTGAGCGAGTGATTTGGCTACTGCGTACATTAGTTTGCTCCGGAGCCATCCTTCCTGAGCTGAGACAAAAATGTGTGAGCCGGAGGCTACAAAACTGTGAGCCAGCTCACCCTAACTCAGCTTAGAGGGAACACTGACAGCAAGCCACCTCTGCTTCTCACTTGCTTTGAAAACCCCTTGCTGGGGTCGCCATCAGTAGGTTGCGACTTGATGGCACATACACACACACACTCACACAAAGTAGCTACAGGACTTGGCAGGAAGGCATTTTGGAGGATAGAATCCTGCCCCCCCATCTAGTTGCTGACCTAGACGTTCACACATTAAACTGTGGAAAAGTAGGGTGCACTGGTACTTTGTACAGTGCTGTGGCACAATACAACAAAGAACAAATGGAAGTGCCTTACACAGACCATTCAGGCCATTCATACATCTGCCCTAACTGGCTGCAGTGCTATGTATGGAATGGTCTTTCCCACCATCCTTCAACTGCATGGAGAACATGTCTCTCAATGGCCACTAGCCATGGTGACTAAAGTAACCTCCACAGAGTAAACCTCAGAGTAAAGTAAACCTCAGAATAGCAGTACCAAAGAGGCAACATCTGGGAAAAGCCTTGGCCTCTATGCCCTGTTGTTGGCCTTCCAGAGTAACTGGTTGGCTGCTATGTTCCCCCACGAGCACTACGGTCGGGGACCCGACACCTTCTGGTGATGCCGGGCCCCAACGAAGTCAGGCTGGCCGCCACCAGGGCCAGGGCGGTTTCGGTGGCGGCTCCTACCTGGTGGAACGAGCTCCCGGAGGAGATCCGGGCCCTGCGGGACCTTGCACAGTTCCGCAGGGCCTGTAAGACGGAGCTCTTCCGCCAGGCATATGAGTAGGAGCTGCCACTACCACCACTACCATCACTACCATCATAGCCTGGCCCTGGACGAGAGAACACCAGTGTCTCCCTGAGCAGACGACGCTGAGCTGGCGGGGCAGTTGCAATAGGCCACCTTGTGGAAGAACAGAGCACTTTGTTAATAATAATGTCATTGTCTTGTTGAGTGTTAAATGGTTTTTAAAATGTTTTATATTTGATTCTGGCTTATGCCTGACTGTAAGCCGCCCTGAGCCCGCGTTGCGGGGAGGGTGGGGTATAAATTAAACCTATAAATAAATAAAAATAAAAATATGTGAGGCTAGGTTAGAGTTGCCAACCTCCAGGTGGCACCTGGAGATCTCCCACTATTACATTAGATCTCCAGACAACCAAGATCAATTCACCTGGAGAAAATGCCTCCTTTAGAGGGTGGGCTCAATGACATCCCCCGCTGAAGCTCCTCCCCTCCCCAAACCTAACCCTCCCCAGGATCCACCCCCAAAGTCTCCAGGTATTTCATAGAATCATGGAGTTGGAGTCCAGGGTCATCTAGTCCACCCTCTGCACAATGCAGGAAATTCGTAAATACCTTCCCCTCCACAACTACAGTGACTGCTGTTCCACGCCCAGAAGATGACAAAAAACCTCCAGGATCCCCGGCCAAACTGGCCTGGAGAACAATTGCTTCCCGACCCCATTTCTCTGGGCATGTAAGAAAGGGCCACAAGAACTAAGCACTGAGGCAACCCATCCTGCTCTCCCTCTCATGATCTGCCTAAGTTCACAGAATCAGCATTGCTGTCAGACGGCCATCTAGCCTCTGTTTGAAAACCTCCAAAGAAGAAGAGCCCACCACCTGACGAGGAAGCCCGTTCCACTGAAGAACCAGTCTGTCAGGAAGTTTTTCCTAATGTTTAGCCGTAAACTCTTCTGATTTAATTTCAGTCCATTGGTTCTGGTCCGACCTTCTGGGACAACAGAAAACAACTCTGCACCATCCTCTATATGACAGCCCTTCAAGTACTTGAAAGTGGTTATCATATCACCTCTCAGTCATCTCCTCTGCAGGCTAAACATACCCAGCTCCTTCAACCTTTCCTCATAGGACTTGGTCTCCAGACCCCTCACCATCTTCGTTGCCCTCCTCTGGACATGTTCCAGCTTGTTTATATCCTTCTTAAATTGTGGTGCCCGAAACTGAACACAGTACCCTAGGTGAGGTCTAACCAGAGCAGAATAAAATGGTATCATCACTTCATGTGATCTGGACACTATACTTCTGTTGATACAGCCCAAAATGGCATTTGCCTTTTTAGCAAATTTCCCAGCTGAGACTTGACAACCTTAGACTAGATGGACCCCTAGCTGGATCTAGCAGACCTCTTATGTTATTAGATCCCAAAGTCTGCATCTCAGGTCTTCTGCATGCAATGCAGAATGCTGCAAAATATGGGTGGGCTCTGCACAGTTGCTTTCTAAATCATTTGGGCCATCTACCCCCTCCCTGTTAGACATTTCAAAAGATCAGTTGAATAGTTTATTTTAAAGTAAAAAATATGGTTATTTCTCCTTCCAGCTTAAACACAATTCAAACAATAGAGTGTGTTCTGGTTCCCAGATCCTATGCAAACATATAGAGGCCCCGGTCATTTGCTGTGGGAGAGCCATGGGTGGTGGGTGGATTATCGGGGCGCGATCACACAACAACATCTGGCAAGTGGAGCACACCCGTGGCCGACTCGTGGCATACCGCCGAAAAAGCACAATAAAAAAACAGTACCTCGTATGTAGTGGCAAACAGTTTGCCACGGGCTGCCTCCAGACTCCTGCGGTGTGATCACGCCTGCGCGCTGCGTTTCCCTCCGGCCCCTCGTTAATGCGCAGGCGGGGAGGATGGGACCCGTGGTTTGCCGCCGACGCATCGGATCGCGTTCTAGTGGCTCTAATTGCACCGGAGCAATTAGCCACGCCTCCCCCCCGTGTTATCCGGCCCATGTGACCGGGGCCATAATAGGGCAAATATGCCCAAGAGTTTCCACAATGGTTGCTTCTGGACTGGTCTTTAAGCCCATGCCCCTCCTCAAAGAGCAGCAGATGCCATGCAACCCTTTACCCTCAGACTGATTTTTTTTCTCAAACTTGCTTGATACATTCTTTTTGGAAAGATCATACTAGGGCACCCATTCCCTCTGCCAAATACCAGCAAAGTTTTTTTTTGGGGGGGAGCCCTGAAAAGTTGGTATATCGCTATAGTAGCATTACACTATGGTGATATAGCGATATATTACCAATTTTTTTTAAAAGCCAGCAAAAAAAAGGTACTCTAGTTGCAAGGGACAGGGAATGGCAGGTGCAAAGAGGTACTACAGAGAATACTCTCATGTGGAGCAATGCTCCCTCTAAGCTGTGGAGTCTTGTGAGCAAAAATTCTACTCTGTGAACTACTGGCATTAAATTTGTGAGTGAGTGATTTGGCTGCTGCATAAATTAGTCTGCTCTGGAGCTGGAGGCTAAAAAACTGTGAGCTAGCTCACACTTACTCAGCTTCGAGGGAACGCTGATGTGGAGTCTCCATTGCAGAAGCAACGAGAGCACAATGGGGCATCATCCCTGCACGGAAGCAGCCAAAGTTGTAGAAGCTTTTCTCCTTGCATAGATTATCGTATGTCGAGTCGTTGAGAAAACCAGTCCAGATCTAAGCAAACAGAACCAGACCCCAAATATCCCTGATCAGGAATGAGGGATTCCCTGGCTCCCTCTGAGCAGAGACCTGAACCCATGGAAACATAGAAAACAACAACAACAACTGCAACAGCTGGGTGGAGAAAGCATGGGAAATCCTTGGTATGAAGCAGCCCAGGTCATTGATGTGTGCTCAGTGGCATGATGTGCCCCATGACCGCCCTTGTACTTTATCAACAAATCAGTCAGCGAGTGAGACCTTTAGTGTAAGCTGCATATTTTGATTGCATTAACCGTTATGGAGAAGTGTTGCATTTTCGCAATCCGAGACCAGCATCTTGTTTTGCAATTGCTTCTTGGTAATTGCCTGTTTTCAACATCGGGAGGTTTTTTGAGGGGAATACTGTTTTGAGTCTGTCAGAGGCATGATCTGTGGTGCTTCAATACCCTCTGACATTCCACAGATGAAAGCAGGGATGTGGCCTACATGCAGTCCCACCCAGGGGTCATTTCATAGAAAAAGAGCTAGGGGGACTCATTAGCATAACTCATTAGCATATGCCACACCCCCTGACATCACCGGAAGTGTGTCATAAGGCCACACACCCCGCCCCCAACGGTCCCGGCCGCCGCCGCCGGCCTTGCAGCTCCACTGCCGAGCCCCATGAGGGGCCAGGCAGTGCACCTGCAAGGCCGGCAGGAGTGCAAGGAAGCCCCACGAAGGCCCTCCCTGGCCCCAGGCAGGCAGAGGTGGGGAGAGGCAGGGAGGAAGCCACTTACCCTCCCTCTTCTCCTGCCTGGGGGAACTGTGTTCCCCCGCGATCCCCCCCGAAATGACCTCTGGTCCCACCCATTCTCATTCCAAATATTGTGACAAAAGCTCCAATTATACACTGCTGAAGGTTCTACCCTACTTGCTTTATAAACCAAGAGGGTGACGGGGTTGTTTCTGTTCAGGGCTTTTTTTTGTAGAAAAAGCCCAGCAGGAACTCATTAGCATAATAAGGCATACCCAACAGCAGAAGCTCATTAGCATATTAGGCCACACCCC